ATTCAAAGTTTTTTAAAAAATGAAATCTATATAAAGATGATGGTAAGTAGATGTGTGTTTTTCCACATGGAAAGGAAGCAAGATTTTCAATACATGTATAAACTAGAAAAGTATTTAAATTATAAAATGGCCATCTAATTGAGAACAGAAGTTTAGATTTGAAGTAAAACTAGCAAAATTAAAGTTGGAAAACATTATTTCACCTTAAATCAGAGATTTCATCATGTATACTGTTTTGTGCAGAAGCTATTAACCTATTTTTATTCAGATATAAAATGGCTGGCTTGTTTTTGTAAAGTATCTTCAAGGTCCTTAACAGATTAAAAACAAACAAACCAACCCCAAAGTCTCACAGTTTAAAAACACATAGTTTTAATGCTTTTATTTTTTATTTTATTATTTATAAAGGAAAATCATATCACTTAGCCACAAGAATCGAGACTGGAACATTGGAGAGATAGATCATTTTCCTGTTCGCTTTATTTTACAGATGAGAGAACTGAGGATCCAGATTCAGAAATGACAAATTATGTACAAATGATTCCAACATTTCCATAATCTCTGAACCTCAGAACCCTCCAACATATTTGAAATGTTGGATTGTCAAATTTCCTAGGAAATACTTTGAAATAATTCTGATTAGGGATATGTTGGAATTGCTAATTTGGAGAAGGTGAAGATTTTTTTTTCCCAAAATATTTTCTCAAATACCCACTCTGTTTATTTTGGGAATTCTTAATATTCTTTAAAAGCTCTGTCATGCTTGTCAAATAGTGCTAAAATTCTTAAATGAAGTTACCTGAAATACATATTCACCAATTTCACAGTTGGGACTAATGTAAGAAGAAAATAACACTGCGTATAATAACAGTTTCATAAGTCTGTAGCGTGTTTTTTTTTGTTAGTATTTTAGAAATATACAGTATGAAACTGCTAAACAGACTGAGGTTCGCTGAAGAAAAAAAGGGTGCTTACCTTCTCAATACTGTTTATGTATACACTGGCTGAAATTTTACTTTTAAAAATATAGTGAATGTTTTTCTCACTATTTTGCTTCTCTCAGAGTTTTTAGAATAAGAACAGCAGGTATATTTATCATTCTTCATTTTGGTAAACACAAAGTTTAGGATTAGCTTGAGATAAGCAGTTACTTAGATAAGTAAAGGATCAAGGTTTAAATGGACAAAATATGGTTATAATTAGCAACTTAAAAGTTTTTCAGTGTTTGGGATAGAATTTTGCCGTTAGGCTTCAAAATAGGAAATATGTACTTAGATATTTTTCTGCTAGATATAAACATGTAACATTTTGAAAGGAAAATAATTCAAAATGGTAAAAATCCCCTTGGATGAGAAAGATGTCTGTTGTGGACTATAAATACTTTTTAAAAAAAATTTATTTAATTTATTTATTTTTGGCTGCGTTGGGTCTTCGTTGCTGTGCCTGGGCTTTCTCTAGTTGCTGTGAGCGGGGGCTACTCTTCGTTGTGATGCGCGGGGTTCTCATGCGGTGGCTTCTCGTTGTAGAGTACGGGCTCTAGGCGCACGGACTCTAGGTGCGCAGGCTTCAGTAGTTGTGGCCCACGGGCTCTAGAGCGCAGGCTCAGTAATTGTGGCACACGGCCTTCGTTGCTCTGTGGCATATGGGATCTTCCCAGACCAGGGCTCGAACCTGTGTCCCCTGCATTGGCAGGCAGATTCTTAACCACTGTGACACCAGGGAGCCCCCCTAAATACTTTTTTTAAAGGACCATTTAAACAATTTTGTTTCAACTAATTAAACCTTAAGAATCAATAATAAATTCATGCAATACTTTAGAACTGTATCACTGAATTAGTCTATTACTTGTCAATAAAATATTCCAATGATTTGGAACCTTTAGCTGTTAGTATAAAAATTATCTCCTTTACTCCTTTAAACTAAAATGCCCCCCAAGAGATTAAAATAAATACTTTCTAATGATATAATATTAGGATTTCTGAGGTTAATGAATCTCTTTGAAAAGGTGGAGGTGAGATATTTTATAGCTTTGAAATAATTTGCCAATAAAATTTACAGCTGATCTTGTAGCAGATATGAATAACTTTGGCTAGGCTACATGGGTCAATACTGTATTCTGTTTCTCTATATTTTACTGGGGATAAATCTATTTGTTTCAACCCAGAAGAAACAAATACTCTGAAGTCTTTATTAGAGCTATATGTCATTACGTTTTTAGAGCAGTTTTTTCCTCAGTTATTCATTTAGTCTGGGTTGGACTTCTCAAGGGGGGAGACAGATGTCCCAGCAGCCTGACAAAGTTAAGTACTTACAGAAGGTTTACAGTAGTAATGAGGGTGGGCACTTTAAAAATGGCTTGGAAAAGAAAATCATTGTTTATAGATACTAATAATTCAGTTATATTGAGTTATGTGACTCATTAATGACTTTGAGATAGGTTAGAAAACCATTAAGCTTTGTCTATGTATATATATGGAAAAATACATGGATGCAAGTTATACTACTCATTTAGAGTACCTTTTTTTCTTATTAAAAAGTAGTAAGAAGTAGCAAAAAGAAGAAAATAAATACCAACCATTCAGTGTAAGCCATACTTTTCAGGTTTTTCTTCTACCTCTCAGGCTGCCACTTCTCTGTGAGCTTTTAATACTCTGCCTAACCTTTTATATTGGTATTTGGTCCTTGGTCTTTTCTTTCTTTCTTTTTTTTTAAAAAAAATATTTATGTATTTGGTTGCACTGGCTCTTAGTTGCAGCAGGCGGGCTCCTTAGTTGTGGCACTTGGGCTCCTTAGTTGCAGCTTGCCAGCTCCTTACTTGTGGCAAGTGGGCTCCTTAGTTGCGGCATGCAGGCACCTTAGTTGTGGCATGTGAACTCTTGGTTGCGGCATGCATGTGGGGTCTAGTTCCCTGACCAAGGATGGAACCCGGGCCCCCTGCATTGGGAGCGCGGAGTCTTATCTACTGCGCCACCAGGGAAGTCCTGGTCCTTGGCCTTTTCAAGTGCGGTTGACTTATTTGTATATAGTCAACATCAATCTCTCCCATGATTTTGGTTATTGTAGTTATGCTAATGGCTCCTGACTGTCTCCGTCCCTGCTTTGACTGCTAATTGAATGGCTCTATCTAGATGTCTAAGTATCTTCTCAAACTGTCCAAAACTGAATTTAATCCTCCAACTCCCTCTCTCTCCCCTGCAGAAGACAAAACTAAAACCTAATTCTCTTTTTGGTGGGTTCATCCCTGATTTCTCCTTCTCTCACCCTCACATTCAGTCAAATTTTGCCTTATAAATACCTCATAAATATGTCCTTCACCATCCCCACTGTTATTGTCATCTCTTCCCAGTCTTACTCTTCTCCAATATATTCTCCCCAGTGTAGCCAAAGTGATTCCTCTAGAGTCTAGATTATGTAGATTGACTAATTATCACCCACTGCTTAAACATTTTTACTCTTTCCCTGGAGTTAGCCAAACTGTGAGGTCAAAGGCGCAGTCCTCCAGAAAGCCAGGTCTGCCTGAGGCAGAAGTTTGCAAGGAGTTAGGGTCTAAATACAAAGTTAGAGGGAAGAGTCCACACAAGACCACCCTCACTTCTGACACTGGCTATAAGTTTGGGGTTTCTCAAAAACACCTCCAGATTTGATAATTCACTAGAAAGAACTCGCTGAAAGCTATTATATTAATGGATTATGGTTCATTATAAGGAAAAGATACAAATTAGAACCAGCCAAAGGAAGGGATGCATGAGGTGCTATCTAGAAGGGTTTCAAATGTGAAGCTTCCATTGTCCTCAGCAATGTGTTTCTCTCTCATGGAGTATTGCCAACCCAAGAAGCTCACCTGAGCTGCAGTGTCCAGAGCTTTTATTGGGACTTACTGATTGATTGCTCACATGGTTGAACTTAGTTTCCAGTCTCCCCTCAGGCTGATACCATGTGATCCAAGGGGCCCACCTGAATAACAAGGACAATCCTATTACTTTAGAAATAGGGATTTAGAGGTTACTCCCAGGAGCTGAGGACAAAGGCCAGACCTCTCTTTGGGCAAAGCCAATTATTTACTGTACACCTTCATCACCTATTTCTCCATTGCCCTCCAGATAAAATCCAAACAAAGCTTTATAATCTTATCAGCCTCATCCCTGAATCACTATCCACCCAGTCCATCCCACCTCTAGAAGCTACACTTCAGCTGTTTTAGATTATTAATATATTAGTTTGAATGTGTTGTGTTTGCTCTTACCTCTGCACCTTTGGACATAACATACTATTCCTTCTTCTTGATCTACCATGCTATCCCACCCTCACCTCACCCAGTCCAATCTCTTACCCATTCTTTAGGTCTCCATCTAACATCACTTCCTTTGTTCACCAACCTCGCACTCAAAATGAGTTAGGTGTCTCTTCCGCGTCCTCTTACAGAATACCCAGTGCTTATTCCTTTTGTAGCACTTGTTTATTATTTTTTTGTCCACGAATATTTGTATATCTTTTACTTGACTAATGGTCTTCAAAATAAGGTGTACCCAAAATAATCCATTTCAATGAAGGAATAAAATATTAAAATCTTTTTCCTTGTATACAAAATATGAACTTAAGGGAATTCCCTGGCTGACCAGTGGTTAGGACTCAGTACTTTCACTGCCGTGGCCTGGGTTGAGTCCCTGGTGGGGGAACTAAGATATCCTGCAAGACACACGGTGTGGCCAAAAAAATAATGAAGTTAGGTGCTAGTAATACTTGATATATTGATTGAGGTTGGCAGCTTGTTCTGTATGACAACTGACTTCATGTCAGACATGGTAAATGAGGTATCCTGATGAAGTGCAAGTTTCTTAGCTTAGAAGAGTTGACAGTGGCACCCTTACTCCAATTTTCAGAACATTATGAATTATTTCAGTTTACCTGCTCTGATTAAATTGATTCATTGATTACATTTACTGGTTTTAACAAAATTAGCCCTTACAAAATAGACAGTTGACTTTAAAGATCCCTGCAAAGTGCTCCCTTTGACAGCACATAAACTGAAATTGGAGGGATACAGAAGATCAGCATGGCCCTGCACAAAGATGACACACAAATTTGTGAAGTGTTCCTGAGGAGACTGCTGCTCGCCATGGCTGACGAAAAGCCCAAGGAGTCAAGACTGACAACAACGATCATAATAATTTGATGAGGCAGGATGGTTCCGAGGTGCAGTTTAAGATTAAGAGGCACACACCACTTAGTAAACTAATGAGAGCCTATTGTGAGCAACAGGGTTTGTCAATGAGGCAGATCAGATTCCGATTTGATGGGCAGCCAATCAGTGAAACAGACACTCCTGCACAGTTGAAAATGGAGGATGAAGATACAATAGATGTGTTCCAGCAGCAGACAGGAGGTGTCTACTAAAAAGGGAACCTGCTACTTTACTTCAGAATTGTTCCTCCAGACCAAGAAGACATTCTCAATTAGAAAACTGCAATTTGGTTCCATCACATCCTGACTCCTGCTATATAGTTTCTCTATTCTTTCATTTTCCCCTTCTCCATTCCTTTATTGTACATAAACGGTGTACAAGCATATTGCATTTTTTTTAAAGTAAATGGCCAATGGTATGTTTTGATCGACATCAGATGGAGATGGAATGGGGAAAAATACTGGTTCTGTGAAGATACCCCCTTTTCTCCATTAGTGGCATGCCCATCAGCTCTTATCTTTATATTCCAGTAAGTTATTTTGCTCTCACTGTTTAACAAAAAAAGAACAACATAAAAATTCTTGCATACCTTGTTCGATTGGAGAATTTTAATGTTTTTCATTTATCATTGTAAAACAAAGGACAATTTTACAACTTCTTTGTATGTAGCTGTTACATGTTACATGTTACAATCTGTCTTTAAATAGGGATAAATTACTCTAAAAGAAATGAATCCTAGGTAGTTTTCCCTTCAAGTCAAGTTTAAATAAACTTCTTGTTTAAAATGAAAAAAAAAGATTCCTGCAAAGAAATCATGGGTTGAACATAATATTTGTAATGCAAATGTAAAAAGGAACAAAACTTAAGAGCCTATATTTCTCCCATCTTTACTTATATTAGACTTTTTTAAAGGTGATTATATTTGATGAGAAATCCACAAAAATGGAACTATTAAGTAGATTATGTGGAATACACCTTACTCAAAGAAATACTAGTATATTGCTGGTGAGAGTGGTGTGTATGCATGGGTGTGTATGTATGGAATTTGTATTTGTATATATACACACATGAGAAATGCGTATCTACATTTGGGGTGGGGGTATTCATGATGCTCCAAATTTTTTTTTTATTCTTTTTTTTTTAACATCTTTATTGGAGTCTAATTGCTTTACATTGTTGTATTAGTTTCTGCTGTATAACAAAGTAAATCAGCTATACATATACATATATCCCCATATCTCCTCCCTCTTGCGTCTCCCTCCC